ATCAGTATTGCTTCGTTCAGTTACGTGCTGGTTCAACTCTGGCAGTTCAAGCTCCAACAGTTCAAGCTCCAGCAGTTCAAGCTGGCAGTTCCAGCTCTAGCAGTTCAGGCTCATGCAGTTCATGCTCTAGCAGTTCAGCTCTAGCATTTCCAGCTCTAGCAGTTCCATCTCCCAACTAGTTCAAGCTCCTTGGTTCAGCACCATAGCCACCAGTTCTAGCAGCTTCGGCTCCTAGCAGTTCAGCTCTAGCCGTTCAGCTCCAACAGTTCAGCTCTAGCAGTTCAGAACAAGCAGTTCCAGCTCTAGCAGTTCAAGCTCTAGCAGTTCAAGCCGTGGTTCAAGCTCCAGCAGTTCAGCTCAACGGTTCAGCTCTAGCAGTTGCAGCTCTAGCAGTTCAGTTCTCTCAGTTCAGCTCTCCCGGTTTCAACTCTAGCAGTTCAGCTCTGCAATTCCAGCTCTTGCAGTTCAGCCTCTCAGTTCAAGCTCTCCGGTTCCAGCTCTAGCAATTCCAGCTCTAAGTTCCACCTCTACATCTCCACCTCTAACAGTTCACGCTTTGGCAGTTCAGCTCTAGCAGTTCAAGCTCTAACAGTTCAAGCTCAGCAGTTCAAGCTCCAGCAGTTCTGGCTCTACCAGTTCCCAGCTCCAGCAGTTCAGCTCTAGCAGTTCCACCTCTAGCGTTTCTAGCTCTAGCAGTTCAAGCTGTACAGTTCAGCTCTAACAGTTCCAGCTCAAGTAGTTCAAGCCTTATCAAAACAAAACCTAGCCGTTCAAGATCTAGCAGTTCAAGCTCTAGCAGTTCAAGCTCTTTCAGTTCAAGCTCTAGCAGCTCCAGCTCTAGCAGTTCAGCTCTAGCAGTTCAAGCTCTAGCAGTTCAAGCTCTAGCAGTTCAAGCTCACACAAACTCCCGTTCAGCTCACAAGTAGTTCCAGCTCATGCAGTTCAAGCTCTATCAGTTCAAGCTCTAGCAGTTCCAGCTCTAGCAGTTCCAGCTCCTAGCAACCCACCAAGCTCTAGCAGTTCCAAGCTCTAGCAGTTCAAGCTCACTCAGTTCCAGCTCTAGTAGTTCCAGCTCAAGCAGTTCAACCTCTAGCAGTTCAAGCTCCAGAAGTTCCAGCTCCACCACTCAAGCTCTAGCTGTTCCAACTGTAGCAGCTCAAGCTCTAGCAGTTCTAACTCTAGCAGTTCAAGCTCAACAGTTCAAGCTCCAGCAGTTCAAGCTCCAGCAGTTCAAGCTCCAGCAGTTTAGCCAAGTGCTCAGCTATGGCAGTTCAAGCTCTGGCATCTCCAGCTCCCGCTGCTCAGCTCTTACAGTTCAATCTCCAGGTTCCAGCTCTACAGTTCCAGCTCCTAGCAGTTCAGCTCTAGCAGTTCAAGCTCTAGCTGCTCAAGCTTTAGTAGTTCAGCTCTAGCCGGTTCCAGCTCTGCTTGGTTCAGCTCAAGCAGTTCAAGCTCTAGCAGTTCCCTCTAGCGTTTCCAGCTCTAGCAGTTCAAGCTCTAGCAGTTCAAGCTCTAGCAGTTCAAGCTCAAACAGGTTAGCTCTAGCAGCTCAAGCCCTTAACAGTTCAAGCTCAGCAGTTCAAGCTCTAGCAGTTCAAGCTATAGCAATTCCAGCTCTAGCAGTTCAAGCTCTAGCAGTTCAAGCTCTAGCAGTTCAAACTGCAGCAGTTCAGCTCTAGCAGTTCCAGCTCTCCTGGTTCAGCTCTAGCAGGTCCACCTCTAGCAGTTCAGCTCTAGCACTTCAAGCTCCAGCAGTTCGCTCTAGCAGTTCAAGCTCAAGTAGTTCAAGCTCCAGCAGTTCAGCTCTAGCTGTTCCAGCTCTGCAGTTCCAGCTCTAGCAAGTTCAAGCTCTAGCAGTTCAAGCTCACTCAGTTCCTGCTCTGGTGGTTGGCTCAAGCAGTTCAAGCTCTAACCGTTCAACCTCTGCAGTTCCAGCTCTACCTGCTCCCAAGCTGTGGCTGTTCCACCTCAACAGCTAGCTCTAGCAGTTCCAGCTCTAGCAGTTCAAGCTCCCAGCAGTTCAGCTCCAGCAGTTCAAGCTCCAAGCAGTTCCAGCTCTAGCAGTTCAAGCTCATGCAGTTCATGCTCTAAGTTTCCAGCTCTAGCAGTTCCAGCTCTAGCAGTTCAAGCTCTCTCAAGTTCAGCTCTCCCGGTTTCCTTTAGCAGTTCAGCTCTACAGTTCCATCTCCTCAGTTCAGCTCCAGCAGTTCCTCTACTCCACCAGTTCTGGCAGCTTCAGCTCTGCTGAGTTCAAGCTCTAGGGGTTAAGCTCTTTCGGTTACAGCTCTAGCAGTTCCAGCTCCTAGCAGTTCAAGCTCTAGCAGTTCAAGCTCCTGGCAGTTCCAAGCTCTAGCAGTTCAAGCTCAGCAGTTCAAGCTCACTCAGTTCCAGCTCTAGTAGTTTCAGCTCATGCAGTTCAAGCTCTATCAGTTCAAGCTCTAGCAGTTCCAGCTCATAGCAGTTCCAGCTCTAGCAGTACAAGGTCTACCAGTTCAAGCTCTAGCAGTTCAGCTCACTCAGTTCCAGCTCTAGTGGTTCCAGCTCAAGCAGTTCAACCTCCTAGCAGTTCAAGCTCTGAAGTTCCAGCTCTACCTGCTCATGCTCTAGCTGTTCCAGCTGTGGCAGCTCAAGCTCTAGCAGTCCTAACTCCAGCAGTTCAAGCTCCAGCAGTTCAAGCTCCAGCAGTTCAAGCTCCAGCAGTTCAAGCTCTAAGTGCTCAAGCTATGGCAGTTCAATCTCTAGCATCTCCAGCTCTGGCTGCTCAAGCTCTAGCAGTTCAATCTCCAGGAGTTCCAGCTCTAGCAGTTCCAGCTCTAGCAGTTCAAGCTCTAGCAGTTCAAGCTCTAGCTGCTCAAGCTTTAGTAGTTTCACTAGCGGTTCCAGCTCTAGCAGTTCCTGTTCTAGCAGTTCCTCTAGCAGTTCCAGCTCTAGCAGATCCAGCTCTAGCAGTTCAAGCTTTAGCAGTTCCAGCTCTAGCAGCTCAGCTCTAGCAGTTCAAGCTCAAACAATTCAAGCTCTAGCAGTTCAAGCTCTAGCAGTTCAAGCTCTAGCAGTTCAAGCTCCAGCAGTTCCAGCTCCTAGCAGTTCAAGCTCTAGCAGTTTCCAGCTAGTGTTAGCTCTAGCAGTTCAAGCTCCAGCAGTTCAAGCTCCAACAGTTCCAGCTCTAGCAGTTCCATCTCTAGCAGTTCCAGCTCTAGCAGTTCAAGCTCTAGCAGTTCAAGCCCTAGCAGTTCAAGCTCTAGTAGTTCCAGCTCTAGCAGTTCAAGCTCTATCAGTTCAAGCTCTCCCGGTTCCAGCTCTAGCAGTTCCAGCTCTAGCAGTTCAAGTTCTTGCAGTTCAAGCTCCAGCAGTTCAAGCTTTGGCAGTTCCACCTCTAGCAGCTCAGCTCTATCAGTTCAAGCTCAAGCAGTTCAGCTCTAGCATATCAAGCTCATGCAGTTCATGCTCTAGCAGTTCCAATCTAGCAGTTTCCATCTCAAGTAGTTCAAGCTCCGGCACTTCCAGCTCTAGCAGTTCCAGCTCTTGCAGCTACAGCTCTAGCAGTTCAAGCTCTAGCAGTTCAAGCTGCCCCAGTTCAGCTCTAGCAGTTCCAGCTCTCCCGGTTCCAGCTCTAGCAGCTCCAGCTCTAGCAGTTCAAGCTCTAGCAGTTCAAGCTCCAGCAGTTCCAGCTCTAGCAGTTCAAGCTCAAGTAGTTCTGGCTCCAGCAGTTCCAGCTCTAGCAGTTGCAGCTCTACCAGTTCCAGCTCTAGCAGTTCAAGCTCTCTCAGTTCAAGCTCTCCGGTTCCAAATCTAGCAGTTCCAACTCTAGCAGTTCAAGCTCTTCCAGTTCAAGCTCCAGCAGTTCAAGCTCTCTCAGTTCAAGCTCTTCCGGTTCCAGCTCTAGCAGTTCTAGCTCTAACAGTTCCAGTAGTAGTTCAAGCTCTCTCAGTTCAAGCTCGGTCCCAGCTCTAGCAGTTCCAGCTCAGTTCAAGCTCTCTCAGTTCAAGCTCTCCCGGTTCCAACTCTAGCAGTTCCACCTCAAGTTCCACCTCTAGCAGTTCCACCTCTAACAGTTCACATTGGCAGTTCCAGCTCTAGCAGTTCAAGCTCTAGCAGTTCAAGCTCTAGCAGTTCAAGCTCCAGCAGTTCCAGCTCTAGCAGTTCCAGCTCTAGCAGTTCCAGCTCAAGCAGTTCAAGCTCTAGCAGTTCCACCTCTAGCGTTTCCAGCTCTAGCAGTTCAAGCTCTAGCAGTTCAAGCTCTAGCAGTTCAAGCTCAAGTAGTTCAAGCTCTAGCAGCTCAAGCTCTAGCAGTTCAAGCTCTAGCAGTTCAAGCTCTGCAGTTCAAGCTATAGTAGATCAGCTCTAGCAGTTCAAGCTCTAGCAGTTCAAGCTCTGGCAGTTCAACTCACTCAGTTCCAGCTCTAGCAGTTCAAGCTCAAGCAGTTCAAGCTTTAGCTACTCAAGCTGTACCACTTCCAGCTCTAGCATTTCAAGCTCAAGCAGTTCCAGCTCTACCTGCTCAAGCTCTAGCAGTTCCAGCTCTAGCAGTTCAATCTGTAGCAGTTCCAGCTCTAGCCGATCAAGCTCTAGCAGTTCAATCTCCAGCAGTTCAAGCTCTAGCAGTTCCAGCTCTAGCAGTTCAAGCTCTCTCAGTTCAAGCTCTCCCGGTTCCAGCTCTAGCAGTTCCAGCTCTAGCAGTTCAAGCTCTTGCAGTTCAAGCTCCAGCAGTTCAAGCTCTCAGTTCAAGCTCTCCCGGTTCCAACTCTAGTAGTTCCAGCTCATGCAGTTCAAGCTCTAGCAGTTCAAGCTCTAGCAGGTTCCAGCTCTAGCAGTTCCAGCTCTAGCAGTACAAGCTCTAGCAGTTCAAACTCTAGCAGTTCAAGCTCACTCAGTTCCAGCTCTAGTAGTTCCAGCTCAAGCAGTTCAACCTCTAGCAGTTCAAGCTCTAGCAGTTCAAGCTCTAGCAGTTCAAGCTCAGTAGTTCAAGCTCTAGCAGCTCAAGCTCTAGCAGTTCAAGCTCTAGCAGTTCAAGCTCTAGCAGTTCAAGCTATAGTAGTTCCAGCTCTGAGTTCAAGCTCTAGCAGTTCAAGCTCAAGCAGTTCAAGCTCACTCGGTTCCAGCTCTAGCAGTTCAAGCTCAAACGTTCAAACTTTAGCTACTCAAGCTGTACCACTTCCAGCTCTAGCATTTCAAGCTCAAGCAGTTCCAGCTCTACTGCTCCAGTAGCAGTTCAGCTCTAGCAGTTCAATCTGTAGCAGTTCCAGCTCTAGCCGATCAGCTCTAGCAGTTCAATCTCCAGCAGTTCAAGCTCTAGCAGTTCCAGCTCTAGCAGTTCAAGCTCTCTCAGTTCAAGCTCTCCCGGTTCCAGCTCTACAGTTCCAGCTCTAGCAGTTCAAGCTCTTGCAGTTCAAGCTCCAGCAGTTCAAGCTCTCTAGTTCAAGCTCTCCCGGTTCCAGCTCTAGTAGTTCCAGCTCATGCAGTTCAACTCTAGCAGTTAGCTCTAGCAGTTCCAGCTCTAGCAGTTCCAGCTCTAGCAGTACAAGCTCTAGCAGTTCAAATTCTAGCAGTTCAAGCTCACTCAGTTCCAGCTCTAGTAGTTCCAGCTCAAGCAGTTCAACCTCTAGCAGTTCAAGCTCTAGCAGTTCAAGCTCTAGCAGTTCAAGCTCAAGTAGTTCAAGCTCTAGCAGCTCAAGCTCCCAGTTCAAGCTCTAGCAGTTCAAGCTCTAGTTCAAGCTATAGTAGTTCCAGCTCTAGCAGTTCAAGCTCTAGCAGTTCAAGCTCTAGCAGTTCAAGCTCACTCAGTTCAGCTCTAGCAGTTCAAGCTCAAGCAGTTCAAGCTTTAGCTACTCAAGCTGTACCACTTCAGCTCTAGCATTTCAAGCTCAAGCAGTTTCAGCTCTACCTGCTCAGGCTCATTCCAGCTCTAGCAGTTCAATCTGTAGCAGTTCAGCTCTAGCCGATCAAGCAGCAGTTCAATCTCCAGCAGTTCAAGCTCTAGCAGTTCCAGCTCTAGCAGTTCAAGCTCTCTCAGTTCAAGCTCTCCCGGTTCCAGCTCTGCAGTTCCAGCTCTAGCAGTTCAAGCTCTTGCAGTTCAAGCTCCAGCAGTTCAAGCTCTCTCAGTTCCAAGCTCTCCCGGTTCCAGCTCTAGTAGTTCCAGCTCATGCAGTTCAGCTCCAGCAGTTCAAGCTCTAGCAGTTCAGCTCTAGCAGTTCCAGCTCTAGCAGTACAAGCTCTAGCAGTTCAAACTCTAGCAGTTTAAGCTCACTCAGTTCCAGCTCTGTGGTTCCAGCTCAAGCAGTTCAACCTCACAGTTCAAGCTCTAGCAGTTCCAGCTCTACCTGCTCAAGCTCTAGCTGTTCAGATGTAGCAGCTCAAGCTCTAGCAGTTTCAGCTCTAGCAGTTCAAGCTCATGTGGTTCATGCTCTAGCAGTTCAGCTCTAGCAGTTCCATCTCCAAGTAGTTCAAGCTCGCACTTCCAGCTCTAGCAGTTCAGCTCTAGCAGCTACAGCTCTAGCAGTTCAAGCTCTAGCAGTTCAAGCTGCAGCAGTTCCAGCTCTAGCAGTTCGCTCTCCCTGTTTCGCTCTGCAGCTCACCTCTGAGTTCAAGCTTTACTTCAGCTCAGCAGTTCCAGCTCTAGCAGTTTCAGCTCAAGTAGTTCAAGCTCCAGCAGTTCCAGCTCTGAGTTGCAGCTCTAGCAGTTCCAGCTCTAGCAGTTCAAGCTCTCTCAGTTCAAGCTCTCCCGGTTCCAGCTCCTGCAGTTCCAGCTCTTGCAGTTCAAGCTCTTCCAGTTCAAGCTCCATCAGTTCGCTCTCTCAGTTCAAGCTCCGGTTCCTGCTCTAGCAGTTCTAGCTCTAGTAGTTCAAACTCTCTCAGTTCCAAGCTCTCCCGGTCCCAGCTCTGCAGTTCCAGCTCTAGCAGTTCAAGCTCTAGCAGTTCAAGCTCTAGCAGTTCAAGCTCCAGCAGTTCCAGCTCTAGCAGTTCCAGCTCTAGCAGTTCCAGTTCAACCAGTTCAAGCTCTAGCAGTTCCACCTCTAGCGTTTCCAGCTCTAGCAGTTCAAGCTCTAGCAGTTCAAGCTCAAGTAGCTCAAGCTCTAGCAGTTCAAGCTCTAGCAGTTCTAGCTCTAGCAGTTCAAGCTCTAGCAGTTCCAGCTCTAGCAGTTCAAGCTCTAGCAGTTCAAGCCCTAGCAGTTCAAGTTCACTCAGTTCCAGCTCTAGCAGTTCAAGCTCAAGCAGTTCAAGCTTTAGCTACTCAAGCTGTACCACTTCCAGCTCTAGCTTTTCAAGCTCAAGCAGTTCCAGCTCTAGCTGCTCAAGCTCTAGCAGTTCCAGCTCTAGCAGTTCAATCTGTAGCAGTTCCAGCTCTAGCCGATCAAGCTCTAGCAGTTCAATCTCCAGCAGTTCAAGCTCTAGCAGTTCCAGCTGTAGCAGTTCAATCTGTAGCAGTTCCAGCTCTAGCTGCTCAAGCTCTAGCAGTTCCAGCTCTAGCAGTTCAAGCTCTATTAATTCAAGCTCCAGCAGTTCCAGCTCTAGCTGTTCAAGCTCTAGCAGCTCAAGCTCTAGCAGCTCAAGCTCCAGCAGATCCAGCTCTAGCAGATCCAGCTCTAGCTGTTCAAGCTCTAGCAGTTCAAGCTCCAGCAGTCCCTGCTCTAGCAGCTCAAGATCGAGCAGTTCCAGTTCTTGCAGTTTAAGCTCTAGCAGTTCCAGCTCTTGTAGTTCCAGCTCTAGCAGTTCAAGCTCTATCAGTTCAAGCTCTGGCAGTTCAAGTTCAAGCAGGTCAACCTCTAACAGTTCAAGCTCTATAAGTTCCAGCTCTATCAGTTCCAGCTCTAGTAGTACAAGCTCTAGCAATTCGAGCTCTAGTAGTTCAAGCTCTAGTAGTTCAAGCTATAGCAGTTCAAGCTCTAGCAGTTCAAGCTCAATTAGTTCAAACACTAGTAGTTCAAGCTCAAGTAGTTCAAGCTCTAGCAACGCAAGTAAGTACTGTAACTCAATACCTTTTTATATTCATGTTTCACATGTAACGTAAGTATCGAAGTGTCATATTTAGACTTATCGTGTATCTGGAAATTTTTTTATCCATGATTGTTTTTTTTTTAGTTTGATATATGCAAAGCTTGGAAATCAGAATATATAGCCGCTGTATAATAAACTGCAATTTGGTAGGATAATGGAAAAACTCGTAATGTGAACTTGAGGAATAATTGTGTTTACTGTAAGTTTTATTTATTGTTTACAAACATTTTTCAACTTTCGCCGAAATATGTTTTCATGTTTGTCAGTATTTCATTCTGTTTTTAATTTGCAGGGAAGGTACGATCAGAAGATATAATTTGTGGGTGTTATGTTTTGGAATATCTGTCACACACACACACACACACACACACACACACACACACACACACACACACACACACACACACACACACCATTTCGTCAGTATAGTATGAATATTTGTGATACCCTTTCTCCATTTAGTACCTCTATATTATATCAGTTTCCCTTCTCTCTATTCCCAGCAGACTATAACATGTGGTACAGTACTTCAAAACATATATTAGAAAAAAACATAACAATTTGAAGGTTCAGTACACTGCTTTACCTACTGTTTACTGGTTCTTCTTAGTCTTGATATTTTTTTTCTGGTTCGTGAGCATGATGAGGTGATTTATGCTCGTAGCTTGAGTCAATTATGTAAAATGAACCAGACACAAATACATAAATGAATATAATATTTATTAAGTGTTAAACATAAACACTAGCGCTATGTATTTTTTTAACCTAACTTGTATAACATCAGTTTTTAATTGTCTTATTTTCATACTATAACTAGATCGAGAAACGACGAGTACTCCCACCACTACTACGACGACCACTCCCACCACTATTACGACGACCACTCCCACCACTACGTCGACTACGACTACCACTCCTACCACTACTACGACGACCACTCCCACCACTACTACGACCACTCCACGACGACCACTCCCACCACTACTACGACGACCACTCCCACCACTACGACTACGACTACCACTCCTACCACTACTACGACGACCACTCCTACCACTACTACGACCCACTACCACTACGTCACTACGACTACCACTCCCACTACTACTACCACTACGACGACCACCCACCACTACCGACACTCCCACCACTACTACTCACCACTACATCAACTGACTACCACTCCCACCACTCCATCACGACTACCACTCCCACCACTACATCAACTTGACGACCACTCCCACCACCACGACCACTCCCACCATCAACTATGACTACCACTCCCACCACTACATCAACTATGACGACCACTCCCACGACTACATCAACTACGACGACCACTCCCACTACTACTACGACGACCACTCCCACCACTACGACGACCACTCACCACTACGTCACCTACCTACCACTCCCTCCACATCAACTACCACTCCCACCACAACTATGACGACCACTCCCACCACTACATCAACTACGACGACCACTCCCACCACTACATCAACTACTTACCACTCCACCACTACATCAACTACAACGACCACTCCCACCACTACTACGACTGCACTACCACCACTACCACTCACCACTACGACGACCATTCCCACCACTACTACGACGACCACTCCCACCACTACTACGACGACCACTCCCACCACTACTACGACCACTCCACCACTACATCAACTATGACTACCACTCCACCACTCCGTCACGACTACCACTCCCACCACTACATCAACTACAACGACCACTCCCACCACTACTACGACTACCACCACTCCCACCACTACATCAACTACAACGACCACTCCACCACTACTACGACGACCACTCCCTCACTACATCAACTATGACGACCACTCCCACCACTACTACGACGACCACTCCCACCACTACTACGACGACCACTCCCACCACTACTACGACGACCACTCCCACCACTACGTCAACTACGACTACCACTCCCACCACTACTACGACGACCACTCCCACACTACCGACTACCACTCCACCACTACATCAACTACAACGACCACTCCCTCCACTACATCAACTATGACGACCACTCCCACCACTACTACGACGACCACTCCCACCACTACTACGACGACCACTCCCACCACTACGTCAACTACGACTACCACTCCCACCACTACTACGACGACCACTCCCACCACTACATCAACTACAACGACCACTCCCACCACTACTACGACGACCACTCCTTCCACTACGTCAACTACGACTACCACTTCCCCCACTACTACGACGACCACTTCCACCACTACATCAAGTACGACTACTACAAGCACAACGGCTAGTACGACCACAACCGCAACTTCTAATCCCCCATCCGGAGGTAAGTATGTTTTTATTTAAATGTGATATCTAACGAACACAGAAAGCAACTTAAAAAAATGCATGGGTTACCCTAACAATCTGAAGGCTTAGATGGTCTCTCGCGAAAATCTGTCATAATGATATTAGTGTCTCTTTTAGTCAGTCCGGTGCTGCTGTGTTGTACCTGGCCAAGGTCTCTCCAGAACACTCTACTTGAAGACATATCTTATGATTCCTCCACAAATAAAATCGATTATCTTGCAAATCCATGATTACCATTACTTTCAAAGTAATGTAATCGATTACATTAAAAACTGTAATCATTATTCCAACGATTCTCAATTATGTAAAGAAAATATATGTAATAATCTTCCACGATTCTGGGAGTTAAAAATTGCACGAGTGATACGTAGGAACTAAGTAGATACAATCATTTCCTCGAGCCTAAAACATTAAGTGACTGTATTAACGCTTTCTGGTCTCCCTTTATCTCCGCAGGCGATAGTATATGCGCGGAGGTGATCCTGACGCATGCACAACCCTTAAAAACGGTTATGTCTCCCAACTACCCTGACTACTACCCTGATAATTACCACTGCGAGTTCAACATCACGGTAAGACTTCGCAAGATCACTCTTCTGGTTGGACGTTGATTAATTTATAGTACAGTAAATGCCGTGCAAAGTGGCTGATTTTCCTGGATAAGTTTCATCTTAACATTGGTGACAATTACCAAATAAAGAGAGAATCTCTTTTTAAGATTAACGGTACATTTGAAAACTGAAATAATTCGAGGAGCTGGTAGTTTTTCATGATTTCACTTGCACTCTCTTTCAGGCACCATTGGGCAGGAAAGTAGACATCTACTTCGACGTCTTTAAGGTTGAATACTCATCCAAATGCGTCAAGGACTACTTCCAAATTGTCGGAATTGAGAAGTACTACGGCATTAAGTGAGTAACAGTTTTTGCACTAAACAAAGGGATATATTAGGCTCACATTGCATGGAACTGGAACCGTCTGAGATTTTCGATTCCTGATAGGACGAATAGGTTATCGGATAGGCCAGTTTTCCCAGAACATCGACTGGGGTTCAATCTTAAGTGATCTATCTATATAACATAACCAGCTTGTCCACAATTGTTCATGGTAAGATGAAAACCTTCCCATGCGTTCTTACAATGTTCTAATGTGAATATCCCTGAACTATTCAACAGAGGATTTTCTAAATTCATTTATTCATCTGGTAGTTTGTCTCACTTCAAGTTTCTCTTATTTTATTTACTCACTCTTGACTGGTTCTTCCTGTAACTTGTTTCGTTGTACTATAAATGTTCAGAGCCTTACTATAACGCCTCTTTTGATTTTAAGATCTCACTCATCCGTTTCTTTATCTTCATGTTATGACGACAACACATCTTACAGAGCGTCTTTGAGCGATTTCTTTATTATTTTCATGTCGATGTAGCATTTGTCGCAGCACGAACTGATCATACAAATTTTGTCTGATTTTTTTTTTTCAGGAATATGTATTTTAGATTTTCAAAGACACTCCAGATAGAATTAGAGAAAGAAGAAAGGAAAGTGTATGTGTCCAGAATATGTAAATGTTCCACTAATGAACATTACTCTCTTACAGGATATGCGGTCATAAGATCCCAAAACTGAAATTACTGTCCAAGAAGAATTACCTGACAGTCACCTACCACTCCGATGGAGGAGGCAAGAAGCTAAAGGGCTTCAAGATCTTTGCCACAGGTATGATACAAATTCATTTATATATGTTTTTACTAAGAAATGGTGGGTTTGGGCAGGTCTTATTTTGTGCTTCACACTGTAGTCATTTGTGTGATTTTGTATATTGTTTTTTATTTAAAGGCACAAAAGAATACAACATGATTGGTTAAGATTAATGGCATTTGTTGTTTTTTGGTGATTATATGTCCACTTATAAGTTGGAATAATAAATTAGTTTTATGCTGAATTTATTCCAGTGAATAGTTGAAAAACTGACATTCAGTGACCAGACAATTTTATTGAAAGCATAATTTTAATTTCTACTCATATTAGACTTTTCTATAAAACAACATTGTAGTGACTTTCATTATATTCTTAGTAATATGAATTTGTCTTTCAGCCATCTTTTATCATTAAAGAAAATATCCTAACCTGAATATTGTTTTCATGATGCACTCGTGGTTCCCTAAACCAATCATACCATACAGTATATAGAAAATAGCTTTACCATAATTAATATCGCTATTTAATTATACATTACAGCTGTAAAGGATACTAGTGCTTAACAACACCACCGACGACGATCAACCCTCCACCACCGACGACGATCAACCCTCCACCACCGACGACGATCAACCCTCCACCACCGACGACGATCAACCCTCCACCACCGACGACGATCAATCCTTCGCAGCCTGACTGACCAGACACGAATACGAGTATCTCTCCAACACCAAGAATCTTTCATTGGATTGTTCTGTGGACCCGGTTATCCACTATCTGATGATGGCCGACTAACTTGTTCAGTGATCAAGAGACTTGGAGGAGAAGAAGACCCGGAGAACAAGCAACACGGAAAAAACAGAGCATTCGGAACCATGACAACAGGGGCACACAACAACAGGGGGACACAGCAACAGAGGGACACAACAACAGAAGGGCACAGCAACAGGGGGACACAACTGCAGAAGGACATAGCAGCTGGAATGTCAATAATAAGAAGGACCTAGACAAGGGGATCCATTATAACAAGGCACCATTATAACGAGGGGGCCATGATTAGAGGGGACCATTATAAGGGCCATGATTAGGGAAGGGGCCATGATTAGGAGGGGACCATTATAACGAAGGGCCATGATTAGGAGGGACCATTATAACGAAGGGGCCATGATTAGAGGGGACCATTATAATATGATTGAGGGACCATTATAACGAGGGCCATGATTAGAGGGACCATTATAACGAAGGGGCCATGATTGACCATTATAACGGGGCCATGATTAGAGGGACCATTATAACGAAGGGGCCACCATTATAACGAGGGGCCAGAGGGGACCATTATAACGAAGGGGCCATGATTAGGAGGGGACCATTATAACGAAGGGGCCATGATTAGAGGGGACCATTATAACGAGGGGCCATGATTGGGAGGGACCATTATAACGAGGGGGCCATGATTGGGAGGGGACCATTATAACGAGGGGGCCATGATTAGGAGGGGACCATTATAACGAAGGGGCCATGATTAGAAGGGGACCATTATAACGAGGGGGCCATGATTGGGAGGGGACCATTATAACGAGGGGGCCATGATTAGGAGGGGACCATTATAACGAAGGGGCCATGATTAGAAGGGGACCATTATAACGAGGGGGCCATGATTGGGAGGGGACCATTATAACGAAGGGGCCAAGATTAGGAGGGGACCATTATAACGAAGGGGCCAAGATTAGGAGGGGACCATTATAACGAAGGAGCCATGATTAGGAAGAGACCATTATAACGAAGGGGCCATGATTAGAAAGGGACCATTATAACGAAGGGGTAATGATTAAAAGGGGATCATTGTCAAGAAGGGGCCATGATTAGGAGGGACCATTATAACAAAGGGGCCATGATTAGGAAGGGACCATTATAGGTATGGGTCTCTGGGTATTAGTGGGATCAAGAGGTGAAATAGCCTAAGTTCTGAACCACATAAGGGACTACTCAGGAGGCCAGCGCTCCCTGTTTTAAGGTGACTATACAGAAGAAACTCGTGCAGCAAATAGTTTCTCTACCTCACACAAATAAACTAGATGGTATTGTATGAATAAGATAGCCGCCCAACACAAACAAGCAAAAATAAAAAAAAAACATACTCTTGCTTGTCCACACACACACACACACACACATACCATATATACACACACACGTGAGTTTCTCGTACAACGCTACATTCACATACACATGCATTAACAAACACACATACACATACATTGACACACACAAACACACATAGTGACACACACACACTCACATACACACACACATACACACACACACACACACACACACACACACACACACAGCGATGTTGTTTCCATTTTTGCTTGATTTGACTTAAGGGTTTCTAATTAGCCAGTAGCTATTCATTGGACATCACGTAAAAACACTTCACTGACATACGCTTGTGTCTCAACATCCCATCTGTCAACCTATCAACATGACTACGTAAACAATAATTCCTAAGAGAAGTGTATTGGGCCAAAAAACTAACTTCGTAACACGGGGAAACAGAATGATTTTTCTTAGATTCTTGAATTGTGTGAGGTGTAAGACAAGGATAACAAGTAACTAAATCTAAAACATCAACTGGGAATAAATTATAATTATACAGTACTTAGTGTCACTCGGTGGAGTCGGTACATCAGATATTGAGAGGAAGTAATACGTATGAACTCCTAAAGAACAGTAAATAGTCATTTCTACCACTAAGTATTTCAAATGTAATATTACGTGAGTGGTAGAGGTGAGGGGAGGGAGGAGGTTACCGTATAAATAAGATAAAGAAGTTTCCTGCGTTATTCTATATATGTATATACAGTATATTTTTTATTAAAAATTTCTAGTGCTTTCGTAGGTACAGTACCTTTGATTTGCTATGTTCTATATCTTAAATGAACACACACACACACACACACACACACACATATAATATATATATATATATATATATATATATATATATATATATATATATATATATATATATATATTTTATATATATATATATATATATATATATATATATATATATATATATATATATATATATATATATATATATATATATATATATATATATATATATATATATATATATATATATATATATAATAAGCATTTTTGCTGCAGTATTATGTTGAAATATCCCAATAATTGTATAGAAATGTGGAATTTTCACATCAAATTCATCAAGAATTAGCGGGCGACATTGAACATACAAGCAGCACCACAGTATAAAAGGGCTGCATGAAAAAAGGTACCGTACGTAACGTGTGGAAGGAAAAGACAAAATAAATCTTATCTTGCTGATAATTCCTCAAGCAGGGAGTTTCTTCTTGAGACACTTAAGTGGTCAACATATATGCCAGGAAGATCTGCAAACAAGTTGACTTGTATTTTTGTAATTGAAAGGTCGCTATATATATATATATATATAATCAAAGATGTGCACATTGTTATCATTATAAACGTAATAAAAGATGGGGGTAGCTACACTGATGACTTTAACTTTCCTCTTTTAACGGGGTCACATTTCAGAGCTTCTCACTATGAGCGCATAAAACTGGTTGGAGAAGCTTGGTGTAAGAAGTGTCGGTGTGTTGTACCTACCATCCTCGCCCTCGCGTACACACACACACACTCTCTCTCTCTCTCTCTCTCTCATAAGAACATAAGAACATAAGAATGGAGGAAACTGCAGCGGGCCTATTGGCCCATACTGGGCAGTCCCATTTAAACCCGACCCCTATCGTTCATATATCCATCCAACCTGTGTTTGAAGCTATCTAGTGTATTCGAGTTAATGATGATGTTTGGTAGCTTGTTCCATTGATCCACTACTCTATTTCCAAACCAATGTTTACCTATTTCGCACCTAAATCTAAATTTGTCTAATTTAAATTATTACGAGTTCGCTGCTGGTTGGATAGTTTGAGTACCTTTGTAATGGCACCTTTGTTATGTCATCTTTGTTTAGCCCTGACTTCCATTTATAAACCTCGATCATATCGCCTCTCACTCTACGTCTCTCTCTGTACTCAAGGTTCCTAATGCCCGGAATTAGTTTTGACATTCTCCTCAGGATTCTTTCTCGGGATTCTATATCCATTCTGTAGTATGGTGACCAAAATTGAACTGCATAATCCAAGTGAGGTCTCACAAGCGCAAGATATAGTTCTAGGATGACCTCGCTAGTCTCTTAACTAACACTCCTTTGTATGAACTCAAGTACTTTGTTAGCCTTGTTTCGAGCAAATACACATTGTTTACTTGGTTTAAGATTCCTACTTATCATTACTCCTAAATCTTTCTCACAGTCGGATTTCTCTAGAACATCTCTCTCTCTCTCTCTCTCTCTCTCTCTGTGTGTGTGTAACACACAAGAGGCCGAAGGTGACTATCAACAAGCTTCCAGTACTGTAACTCGACACGTTTAGGAAGAGACACTTGTTCGCTATCGTCTCACCAAACTCCCACCTAACACACTCCTCCCAATCTTGATACCTGGGATTATTATTATATATTTTTTTTAATCTGGGAAAATCTCAAGGAAAAAGTATCCAGGACTTATTAGCCACCTTATCAAGGTCAGATGGACACTGACCTTGAGAACATCCTGGGTCATAGGTCACGCCATCTGAATCGTTAGCTAATAAAGAAGAAGTGTCAATATATTAAAATTTATCCCATTCTTCGTGTTACTATGGATTATATATATATTGCACTGCACAAAGCAATATCTAAAACGATATAATACTTTTTTATGTAATAATCGAAAGAAAAACGATAAAGAAATTATTATACAGGAAGACATTGAACGTAAATAGGCTAAAAAAGATATTACCTTCAGTTATCCATGGCAAAGATTCATCTAAGTCTTTGCGTTTAAAAGTACAAATGTTTCTCGCGGGATTAAAATACTATAAAACCCAACATTCCGACTTGCTTTTAAAATGTGAAAATAGTGGCCATTGCCTATCTCTGGTCATTTACCTATGGACTTCGAAACATTTGGTCCATTTTGAAATTCAGTTACGATCTCTTCTCTTACAAAATAGTAAAGGCAACACCGTCGACAGTGAATGAGTAAAATAAACCCAAAATACTGTACCTTCGGAAACCAATGGAAATAGGGTGACTCAGAGATGCATTAAGAACTAAGTAAGGCGGAGTAGGATATGAAACAGGATGAAGCGGCCTGTGACTTATCAAAAAACCAGCGAAGAATTTTTTTTTTACAGGGCAGTGGAAAACCAGCGTCCAAAAATATTCAAGAAAACATGACTTTAACTGTGTGTTCCTCATGCTAGGACAGTTTCGATACTACATTGTCTAAATATGGTAGTCGACCAAATATTTCGTAAGATAATAAATGTATAGACTTCACTCATGCACCATCAACTTCTTTCGATAAATATAAAACTCATTAAGCTTGACTGAAATGTCGTAGAGGAATGTTAGGACCAGCTTATGAGATACGGAGGAATATCTGATATGAAACTGATCTATTAAGTCTAAAATACAATAGCTGCATTATACTTCCACAACTGACGATTCTATAATGCACTAAAATTACGAGAGAATTTTGTTGCCTCATGAACGTTTTCTACTAAACTAGGCGCCGGAGACTAGAATTAACTGATTAGCATAAAGTTGTATATATAAACTTAATTAGCAATTTTTATCTTAATAATACAGGATACTCATAATTACAATGATTACAAGTGAAATAACATAAATACCAACTGGCAAAAACACAAGAATTCACTAATTTTTTTATTAATAACTAAAAATCATAAGCAAATAAAGTATGCAGTTACACTTTATATAATAAGGAGCAAAAAAAAAAATCCCATTGAAAGGGAAAATTAATTCACTGACAGCACAGTACAAATCTGATATTTAAATTCCCATCATTGGACATGAGGAAATACTTAGTTCAGGATTCATTTCTTTCTGACATTAGACTGTGGATTATTATAGGAAGGGACTGTCAGAACGGGCCAGCTAATATCTTGTGAGCTG